TTCCTGATGGTCATTTAACAATTGAGGACTCACGCATTCATGTTTTGCCAATAGGAAATCGGGGGCGTGTGTGAAGTCAAAGTAAAATATAACAGAAAAACCTTTGCCAACAGTTGATCTATCCATTCTCCAGGCAGAGGATTCTGAATTCGTTGGACAGTCCCACAAGTATATGTAGGAAATCTTGCAAAGACAGTAAACAACAGATGTACTAAAAGACTTCTTCTCTTCAAATGGAAATGTCTTAGTGCCAAGGTTTCACGTGTTCCTGGGACCTCAAAATCTACTGGTTTTGGCTTGTCATTTTCTTCAGCTGAGGATGTAGACGCTGCAATCTCATCTTTCAACAATTCTGTAGTTTGTTCATTTGCTAGTTGCAATCTATATGTGCTGAAAAAGTGAGACCCTAGATTATATACACAGATGGTGCTCCTCCTCTTCTTGCTTATAGTGACGAAAAATATTTGCAAACTTGCTATGGTAGTTTTAATCAGATATAGTGATGGAAGAAAAATCAAACTTGGTCTACTGATTTCATTGAATTTGATATTATTTGTGGTTCATAAATTTTTCTGAACTGTGAGGTTGGAATGTTGGATACACCTATGTGCAGGTCTGTCTGTTTGTATATCATTACATAATCAGTACAGCACACTTTTGTCCGTGTGAGAATAAACAAAATTTATGTTTTTGGCTCGCTCAGGCAGGCACTGAACGGGCTTGATTCTGCTTGTTTTTGACTCTGTTCCTCATATTTTTCAATGGGAAATTACATCTGAGGAGCCAATGTAAAATATTTAGATTAAAGACCTTAAAATCTTAATTATTTTCATAGAATAAAGTTTCTACGGTTTTGCGGTAACTTTTAAGAAAGTTACAGGTAACAGTTAGCATGCTTCAGAAGCAACAATTTGTTTTTTTTTTTTTTGGGGGTCTTGTAAACGCAGGCTTAAGCCTCTTTGAACTATTTTGCAAGCACACATTAAGTATTTTGGAAGTTTTACACCTTTTTTTTTTTTTTTTTTTCAAAACTGTAACTTTCTTAAAATCAAGTAAACTTGGTAATGAGTCCCTTAAATACTTGATGACAAATTAGATTTTCGGAAATAATTTCAATTTTCAAGGTCTTTTAATTAAAACATTCTAACATGTGGGGTCCTTACATGTAACCTCCCCCTTTTCAATTCTGATCTCAATATCTGTCATCATACAGGTCTCTTACCTTCTTAGATGTTGGACAGACTTTAAAAGATCCTATCAACGTTAGATTTCACTTTTCTTTGAAATTTGTTGAGAAAACATAATTTTAGATCCTTATACTTTGTTCAGATTTTGCTATAGGTTCTTGCACTTTTTTTTGGTATTCTAGGTCCCTACACTTTGTTTATTTAGGGACCTAAAACAATAAAAAACAAAAGTGTAGGGATGTAGAACACCGAAAAAAGTGTAGAGACCTCTAGCAAAACGTGAGCAATGTGTAAGAATCCAAGGTTATATTTTTCCAAATTTGTTTGTATAATTTGGGTATGATATGAGCTTCTATGAGTAGTCAGTTTACTTTCTGATTTACATTCTGGCCTCTGATAAGGATACTTACAAACATGTTTTAAAACCTGTTTACTGCAGTTGTTAGAAGGACAACGAATTCGCGTGAACAAGGCATAAACAGCCAAAGGCAATACTTTGGAAGAATTGTTGAGCTCATATCCTCTAGTTGGAACCAGTACAGACTTTGCATGAGACAGAAGCCATAACTTAGTTATCTTATTTCTTGTCTAGCTTAAGCCCCATCTTTTTCAGGTGACAAGTTTCTCCCAGAAAAAAAAAAAAAAAGCATGAATAGGAGAGTTGAATGCTTTGTTGGAAGAAATTGCGCAGATAAAGTTTTTGGAACCCCACTAGTTACTTGTAATTGTATTGCTTCTTGGTATCTGTACTGTGTAATATGGCAGGTCTTGATGAGTTATGGATGTATTTAGTTCCTCTCTTTGGCTTGAACATGACCCCTTGACTGACCTGGATTTAACAATCTGTCACATTGTATGAGCATTTGATGTGATTTTTTTCATATATTGTTGAAATGGGGGGAGCCCGCAGAAGTTTTAAAGAAAAGTTTGATTTGATGCCTTAATTGACGAATATTTTATTCAAAAAATGACATCCCAATTCAGATCTTGTAATGGAGAAGTACAACAATGATTTGAATGAAACAGGATATGGGATTAAGAAAACTAAAAACAAGATATGAAATGAAGGATAAAAAAAGAAGAAGCTCCGATTGATTTTATTATAAGAAAAAAAAATTATTCCGATGGAAGAAGTTGAAGGGGAGCAGAAGAGATGTAGAGAGCAATTGGTAAAGTAGGCGAGTCCATTTTTATGTAAATGAGCATCTGATTTTTCTTAAAGTTAAAAATATATTTACTAACTATGATTGATCCAATTGATAAAAGGGAAAATTTTATTTAAGAACTTGGAAAGAAACATATTTTTTAGTGGGTTTTAAAAGATTTTAAAATTTCAATTCAGTACTTAGAGATTAAATTAAAAATAAATTAAATGTAAAAAAGATCAAAATACCTTCAGTTTAAATATTAAAAAAAAACTATCAGCTATCGTTGTTGGAGCACCAATGCTGGTGACTAGAGCCTTGCTAATGACGATAGCTATTGGACCCCCATCGCCAGATCTCTGATCACCAGTTGGACCACCATTAGTGGTGGCTAGAAAATTATAAAAAATTAATTTCTTCAAAGGTAGCTAAGGTAGGTGTAGAACTTATAACCCTTTGATTCAAAAAAAAGTTTTGGACCACCAAACCATTTAACCCTTTCAATTAATAATGTATAAAATTATATATATAATAAACTTTATTTCCAAGCTACTTGATTGTTATATTACTTGTTAATTGCATAACTTTATTTGTTAATACCTTAACAAAACTTGTTAATTACGTAACTTTTCTTGTTAACCTCATGACTCCTACAATAAAAATAAATTACTTGTTAATCGCATAACTATACTTGTTAATACTATAACAAAATTTGTCAATTACTTAACTCTCCTTGTTAACTCCCATTACAAGTAATACAGTTCAGTTGAAGGAGTCCTGAATTTAATAAGTAAATTCAAGTAATTAACAAGTCCTGCTAATATATTAACAACTACAGTTACATAATTAACAAGTAATGTAGCTCTATTGTGAGAGTTACAGACTTAACAAGGAGAGTTAAGTAATTGACAAGTCCTACTAATATATTAACAAGTATAGTTATGCGATTAATAAGTAATTTATTTTTGTTACAGGAGTCATGAGGTTAACAAGAAAAGTTAAGTAATTAATAAGTTCTATTAAGGTATTAATAAATAATATAACAATCAAGTAGTTTAAAAATAAGGTTTATTTTATATATATATATATATATATTATTTTATGTATTATATGATTGAATGGGTTGAGTAATTTAGTGGTCTAAAGTTTTTTGGTGAATTAAGGAATCTTAGGTTCTACACCCACCTCAACCACATTTGGAGAAATTAATTATTCATAATTCTTCAACCACTATAGACAATACTCCAGCCAGCGGCTAGACTTTTAGCGACGAAGATCCAATGGCTGCCGTCGTTGTTGAGGCTTCGGTCATCGGTAATGGTAACTGGTGATTTTTTTTTTAAATATTTGAACTAAGAGTATTTTAATTTTTTTTACATTCAACTTATTTTTAATTTAATATTTCAGAATTGAATTGAGATTTTGAAATCTTTTGAGACTCACTAGAAAATATATTTCCTTTCAAGTCCTTAAATAAATTCTCCCTTGATAAAAATATGATTTGTCTCAAACAGATGTGGGTTTGAATCGTGTTTCTTGCCAATATGATAATCTTATTCTTATTGATAAGTAATCAATAATCAATAGATAGCTCCATGAATGATTGAATTTTGGGCATGCTCTAGACATGATGAGTTTAGATCCAACTCAACTGGTTTTTTTTTTTTTTTTCAAAAAACATGTCTAACAAAACACTCCACAAAAAAATAAAAAAGCCCCAAGTGTTTGGTGTTTGAGCTGGCCAGAAAAAAGTGTATGGTATTTAATATGGTATTTTGTTTCATGCAAAAATTTATCTGTTAATTTTACTATTGAGAATAAACTATTCAGCAAAACAACAAAACACTTCAAAATTTCATACGTAAGAGACGTTTTTAAAGGACTCTGATGATTAAAGAATTATTTGTTTACAATGTTTTTTATTGTGATTATTTATCCACAAATCACTTTACAATATTTTAGGACTTACTTCCTATGAACTAAAATACGTAACATCTTCTAAAAATTTTATTTAATTTAAAATATAAGATATTGAATAATTTTTATATATTTTTTCAACTATATCCTACTTCATTTATTATCTTTTTGAAAAAATCATGCATTATAATTTTAATTATTATTATCAAGACTTTTATATTAGATATTTAATGGGAGTATAAATGAAAAGATATAGATATTTTTAAAAATTTAAAGTTTCAAATAACATTATTCATAAACAATGAATTAATTAATTATGACTTATATTATAATTTGAAAGAAATAGCATGGAATTTTCAAAGCACTTTTGGAGTTTGGACAGATTGTATTCTCTGTGCTAGCACCCACCACTCAAGGAGTTTTCATCTACTCTTCTGGTCCTATTTATAGGGTAGAGAGAAAAAAAAATTGATCCTCTTTGTAGGTCACTTGCCAATTTTTTATGTTTTTCTTTACATTTTTATCTTTATTAAATGCTTTAAATAAAAATATCAGTACTGAGATTTTAAAATATTTATTAGGGTAGAAGTAAAAATTTGTTAAATTTTAAGATAAAGTTAATGAGAGTTAAGTTTTTTTTAATTCCAGTGAAACATGCTGGAAGGAAGTGACTTATAAATAGAATCAGAAAAATATTTATTTTTGTTGTACTTATGACGTTAAAATTACTGCAGAATTTTTTAAGATAAAAATAAAATGATATAATTTATTATTTATAAATACTAAACATTAATTTGTTTTAAATGAAGATAATAAAAATTAAAATATACTCCTTTCATTTAAAAATATAAGGCATTTTTAACCGAATTTCACTCCCAATAAAATAGTTACCTACTTTTCAATTAACCCTATCTTTTTATATTTATATCTATTAAATACCCTACAATAAATATAAAGTCATTATTAATAGAGACATTTTTTTAAAAAAATAATAATTATATTTTAAAAAATTAAAAATATCTTATATTTTTAAACAGAGGGAGTAATAAATATTGTAAATCAAGTCTTTTGAACAATATTTTGTTTTGTTTTTTTTTGGGATAGCAGAACATTTATTAACTATTTGTCTAACCGGGCCTTGCTCCAAATTTCAGGCATCCAACTGAGCAAGCGCAATAATAAAATCATAACCATAAGAAAAAGTGTACGCCCAGAAAATGGCAGTTTCGTAAATTTCGGAAGAAACGAGGTTGTATTAGTAATGATGAATGAATACGTGCGCAGCAACGTGACCAGACCACCTGGCTTCCTCAGTACTCTTGAGGCGCCATTTTCTAATTTTCCGCGCCAAAAATCCAAGCTTAATGAATCTTCAACCTCTTTAGGACTCATCAATGCCATCACTCCCGCCCTGCCCTCATCCTCATTCTTGCCGTTAATATCTCCTGCGCGCTTCTCTTCCTCATCTGCTATTTCCGGCCACCTTCTTCCTCGGACCATCGCACAAAGTTCATCAAAGGTGGGCTATTTCTGATTTGTGATTTTTCTGTTTTGCTGAGCAAACAAGAAAAAAAAACTGCAGCTATCACCAGGAGGGGTAACTTTTATTTCAATCGATTTCCGATTGCATTGTTGGAAGAAATATAAATGTGTGACTTTTTTAACTTTTAGGGGGTCCCGACGGGGAAGCCGTCAATAATTGTGAATCTTCCATTCGAGGTTCTTCTTTCTGCAATTGTTTCTCGGTATCTTTGGCTGCCGTGATCGAACAAGACAAACATGTTTTATTCGCATACGTTTCTGGCACGAAAGGGGCCACTGGCCACAGTGTGGATTGCTGCGCATTTGCAACACAGGCTCAGGAAGTCTCATTACACTTCAACTGATATACCCTCCACCGTCAGTAAGTGAAATCATCTTCCTTTTTCTCAAAAGCATGTTTCTTTTGTCAATTTTTCTGGCGTAAAGATTCAAATTTTATTCCTTTACGGATAAAGTTTCCGTCTTTTATTTGGGTTTTGTAAGTGCCATTTATGCCAGAGTTTATCTCTCAAGTTAGCTATTTTCCCCATCCTTGTTAATGGGACATGCGACTCTTATTAATGGGTTATAATCTTCTTCGTCAATTCGTTCCTTTATGAATAAACTTTCCAAGTTCTATTTGGATTTTGGCTGGACGGTTGTTATCTGAATGACTCTTTCAATTTAGCCTTCTTTTCTTTCTGCTGGTGTTCTGTTTGCGCGTGTCCATATCATTACTGTTTTTGTTGGGATAATGGGAGGTAATGGGTTGTAATTTGCTTCGTCTTCAAATTCCTCCAACCAAACGCACCTTAGACAATGTGAGAAGAATGTTGTATTAAATTCCCTAGTCCCTGTCCTGATGTTATGCTTGGATGCTTAATTTGATTAAACTAGGTTTTACTTTTATTTGTTTATTTTCATTTTAAGTTTCTTGACAAAGGCTTTCTCTAGCGGTCATGCATTTTTTAGTATCCATTTTGTGGGAGTTAGTTTCAATATTTCTTGGTTTTTTTTCTGTTTTTGATTGAAGTTTTTTTAAAAATATTGTAGTATAAATAAAAGCAAGGAAATCATCCACTAAGGTCCTTAGACAATGCGACTGCCTGAAAATACCTAAGTTGAGTCTCAACTACAAGCAAGTAAAGTGCCCTACTTTATATTGCTGGGAAAAGATAACCTTTTTGAAAACGCAAGCATTATGCACAATAGATTCTAATCCTATATCTACATGGAACACCTCAATCAAACTATGTTATTTACACATTATTTTCCCACATCTAACAAACATCAATTGC